ACTGATATAGGTTGAAACATAGTTCTCTCACTGTGTTGTCTATGACTAACGCCAGAAATGAATAGACGTAGTACCTTGTTGAACTGCATATAAACCTCTACACGTACATGTTCACATAGACACAAACACTCATCTGCTGTTTGTCTTGTACAGCGGGCCAGTGGGAGGTAGCATACAGCGGCCCTGCTACAGGGTGTGTGTGTGAACGACTGACACCCGGCACCGTTTACCGCCTGCGAGTGTGTAGCATCAGCACCGGTGGACACAGCCAGGTAAAACACACCCGCACACACACACACCGCATGTCACATGGATCAATAATCAATTTAATTACACAATTCATCAATTTACCTTCCCATGATCCTCTGTGTTCTGCCAGTGTTCCTTCAGTGTTCCGGTTCGGACGTTGAGCGTCGCCCCCGGACCCTGCCAACCGCCCAGGATCGTGGGTAAAGCCAAACACAAGGAAGTGCAGTTAGAATGGGGTAAATACACACACACACACAAACACACAGTGGCTTTTACTGTCTGGAAGGTCAAATCAACCTTTGACTGTTCCCTGCCCTTCACTGTGCCAAACCTAATACACCCTGATTACAACCTTGTTACAACACACACACACTGTGTGCACCAACTCTAGGAAACCTAATTCACTTTAATTCAGCTTTATTGCGACTCTAATGCAGCCTATCTAAACCTTAATGTAGCCTAATGTAGTCTAATTCAGCTGCATTCTATGTGATTAAAGTAGTTAGAATCTGTCAGGCCTCAATGTAATAGGGCAAATGTTCCTTCATTAAAATGTGTGTGTGTTTACGTCCGTGCGCGGGTGCGTACGTGCGCGTGCGGGAGACTAACACTCGCTATTAAAAAACAAGCTAAAGGACAATTGAGTAGACCGTGTTCTCTTTCTCGTTTTCAATCTCACTCCCTCTTTCCCCCCTTTATTAGCTTTCTGTCTTTACGTCACACCATAAAGCTGGTTTAAACACATAGAGAACACTAATGAGGGGATAAAAAAACAGTTAGTTCAGACTCTCCTTCTGTTATGCTATGTTTGACTAGGTGCTGCAGCATGTTATACTAGATTAAAATGTTTGTCCTCTCTCTCTCTCTACCCCTCTCTCACTCTCTTTCTCTCGCTATCGCGCTCTCTCCTCTGCGCGCGCGCGCGCGACCCCACGCGAGCTCTCGGCGGGGGCGCGCGCGCGGGGCGCGGCGCGCACGAACCCGCAGATATAGAGGCGCCCCCGCCGCTAGCGACGCGACGACGCGCGCGGGCGCCGAAGCGGCCGCGGCGACGCGGACGCGCGGATTCCGCTCGAACCGCTCTCTACCATCTCGGCACCTAGCGCGACCTCTCTCTAGCTCTACCTCTCTACTCTCTATCACTCCTATCCTCCCCTTCTTCCCTTTTACTTTCTCCACTCTTTCTCCTTTCCCTCTAACCTCCCCTTCCTCTCCAAGCCCCAACGTCAGAGGGTGTGTGTGAGGAGTGTGTGTTCAGTCTGGAGATGACATCATCAGAGGGTGACGCTGAGCCCAGTGAGGTGTACAATGGGAAAGAGCTGCAGTGCAGTGTGGGTAGTCTGCTGCCGGGGGCAACCTACAACTTCAGACTGAGGGCTGCCAACGAGGCTGGGGTGAGACACACACACCCTAATGAACGCTGACCAGAAGCAGGCAGACAAACACTCTCTAATCTAATTGATGTGATCAGTCCATCCCTGAGTGCTATTCAGACTTAGTTCAAGAGGTACTCAAACACACTTACACACTTACGCACACACACACACACACACACACACTCACACACTGTCTGAACAAAGTAGCAAACTGAGAAGTGCTCATCAAAAACGACGACATACAGAGGAACAAACAGAAACTCGACTGGAGACCGATTCTCCCAGCAGCTAGTATTTAGTCCAATCAGACAGTCCTCTTCAGTTCACTGCTCTGATCAACCATCTGCTGCATCCACTATCTGTTCTACAGCCATGTCAAGGCACTCTGCCCCATTTAGCAATCATATAAATTATTTGAATGCAGGAATAGTCATGCTCGAAAAGTCATGTTTGATTGATTAAAGTTTCATATCCGCCCAATCTGAGCTGTGCCTAAATCTAATTTAACGGTTGATCAAACAGACTTTATCATTTGTGAGCCTGCTACTAGATTTGTTTAGTATTTTTCCTATAATCTTACTTGTGTGTTTCCTGTCATGTGACCTGTGTGTTTCCTGTCATGTGACCTGTGTGTTTCCTGCCATGTGACCTGTATGCTTCCTGTCATGTGACCTGAATGCTTCCTGTCATGTGACCTGTGTGTTTCCTGTCATGTGACCTGTGTGTTTCCTGGCATGTGACCTGTATGTTTCCTGTCATGTGACCTGTATGTTTCCTGTCACATGACCAGTGTGTTTCCTGTTTACTTCCTGTAGTTTGGAGAGTACTCTGAGGCGGCGGAGGTGACGACAGCAGCGGGTCCTCCAGGCCAGTGTGTGGCGCCACTCATCACTCTGAACAACACCACCTGTCTAACAGTCAGCTGGGAGGTACTGCCTGTCTATCTATCTACTTTACACTCTGTCTACACTTACATCTAGAACGGACGTTGCACTTTTTTCTGCCTCCAAATAAAAAAAGGGGAAAAAGGAGGGGCGGGGGGGGAAAGAGGGGGGAAAAGAAGAGAGGGGAGAGAGAGAGAGAGGGGGGAAAAGGGGAGAGAGAATAAAAAAGGGGTTTTTTGTATAGAGGACAGAAAGGACACAGAAAATTAAATGATCAAAAAACCTAATCTCTCCCGTTTTTTCTCCACCCTCTTGAAACCAACTCTGATATTGAAACGCTCAGAAGTCCCAGACCCTGAGTGAAGTGTTCAGGGGAAAGCTTTGATGGTGACTGTTGTACAGGATATTGACTATAGTGCAGTCTAGCCGTCTTAACAGTTTCCCGTCGGTGGCTCTGTGAATGTAGCCATCCTTAGAAAATCACTGATCTGATAGTTTTCATCAACGGTGAAAACAACAGATCATTAATACCTAAAGGGAAAGGGGGGAGGGGGGAGGGGGGGAAATGAAAGGGAAAAAAGGAAAAGGGAATCATTTTGTTTAAAAGGGGGGAATTTTTTTTTTTTTTCCCCTTTTTTTTTTTTTTAAGAGGGGGGGGGGTTTTTTTTCCAAAGGGTTCTGTTTAGGACCCCAATTACAAACCCAAAAATGGCCCCCATTGTTTTTGTTAGGTGTTTCTTTAGGAGCTCATCTATATGGTTTATATCGCAGGAGGAGAGAGGTCGCATAGGACAATAACAACATTGGCAGTGTGTGTGTTTGTAAGGGCAGTTAATGATAGGTATTTATTTGTGAGTAAGGTAATAGGCCATTTAAAAAGCAAACACTACTAGTGGGGAAAAAAGTATTTAGTCAGCCACCAATTGTGCAAGTTCTCCCACTTAAAAAGATGAGAGAGACCTGTAATTTTCATCATAGGTACACGTCAACTATGACAGACAAATTGAGAGAAAAAAATCCAGAAAATCACATTGTAGGATTTTTAATGAATTTATTTGCAAATTATGGTGGAAAATAAGTATTTGGTCACCTACAAACAAGCAAGATTTCTGGCTCTCACAGACCTGTAACTTCTTCTTTAAGAGGCTCCTCTGTCCTCCACTCGTTACCTGTATTAATGGCACCTGTTTGAACTTGTTATCAGTATAAAAGACACCTGTCCACAACCTCAAACAGTCACACTCCAAACTCCACTATGGCCAAGACCAAAGCGCTGTCAAAGGACACCAGAAACAAAATTGTAGACCTGCACCAGGCTGGGAAGACTGAATCTGCAATAGGTAAGCAGCTTGGTTTGAAGAAATCAACTGTGGGAGCAATTATTAGGAAATGGAAGACATACAAGACCACTGATAATCTCCCTCGATCTGGGGCTCCACTCAAGATCTCACCCCGTGGGTTCAAAATGATCACAAGAACGGTGAGCAAAAATCCCAGAACCACACGGGGGGACCTAGTGAATGACCTGCAGAGAGCTGGGACCAAAGTAACAAAGCCTACCATCAGTAACACACTACGCCGCCAGGGACTCAAATCCTGCAGTGCCAGACATGTCCCCCTGCTTAAGCCAGTACATGTCCAGGCCCGTCTGAAGTTTGCTAGAGTGCATTTGGATGATCCAGAAGAGGATTGGGAGAATGTCATATGGTCAGATGAAACCAAAATATAACTTTTTGGTAAAAACTCAACTCGTCGTGTTTGGAGGACAAAGAATGCTGAGTTGCATCCAAAGAACACCATACCTACTGTGAAGCATGGGAGTGGAAACATCATGCTTTGGGGCTGTTTTTCTGCAAAGGGACCAGGACGACTGATCCGTGTAAAGGAAAGAATGAATGGGGCCATGTATCGTGAGATTTTGAGTGAAAACCTCCTTCCATCAGCAAGGGCATTGAAGATGAAACGTGGCTGGGTCTTTCAGCATGACAATGATCCCAAACACACCGCCCGGGCAACGAAGGAGTGGCTTCGTAAGAAGCATTTCAAGGTCCTGGAGTGGCCTAGCCAGTCTCCAGATCTCAACCCCATAGAAAATCTTTGGAGGGAGTTGAAAGTCCGTGTTGCCCTGCGACAGCCCCAAAACATCACTGCTCTAGAGGAGATCTGCATGGAGGAATGGCCCAAAATACCAGCAACAGTGTGTGAAAACCTTGTGAAGACTTACAGAAAACGTTTGACCTGTGTCATTGCCAACAAAGGGTATATAACAAATTATTGAGAAACTTTTGTTATTGACCAAATACTTATTTTCCACCATAATTTGCAAATAAATTCATTAAAAATCCTACAATGTGATTTTCTGGATTTCTTTTCCTCATTTTGTCTGTCATAGTTGACGTGTACCTATGATGAAAATTACAGGCCTCTCTCATCTTTTTAAGTGGGAGAACTTGCACAATTGGTGGCTGACTAAATACTTTTTTTCCCCACTGTACAAAAAAAAGAAGCCTCTCTCTGTTTCTCTCACTCTCTCTTTCTTTCTCTCTTTACCTCTCCAGGCGGTGAACCAAGCGGGGGCGGGGCTTTATAGTGAACAGATGAGCTTCCAGACTCCAGCGACTAATCCCGACGCAGTCTCTTCTTTCTTCCTGCTTGACCAGCTCCAATCAGATCAGTCCCCCTCCACCTGCCTCTTCTTGAAGTGGGAGGAGCCTAACTGTAATGGGGCGGATATAACGTCTTACATCATCATTCTGGATGATCAGCTCATTACCGTGGAAACAGGAACCAGTCACCTGATCACTGACCTGCAGCCAGACAGCCAGTACAGGTACACACACACACACACACACACACACACACACACACACACACACACACACACACACACACACACTATTTCCAGTCCCTGTAGTATGTTCATGGTTGTAATTGAGATTGAGTCAGAGATTATGTTATTCCAATTAGCAGCACTTATAGCAGCAAGCAGTAATCATACCGTGTGTTTCTAGGAATTAAGAAAGGGTGTTGTCTGTGTGATTGGTTATTGTTCTCAGTAAGTGTTTGTGATTATGTGTGACAATGAGTAAAGTGTGTGTCTATGGGTGTAATCTGAATAATAAATATAATATGCCATTTAGCAGACGCTTTTATCCAAAGCGACTTACAGTCATGTGTGCATGACTCCAGCGACTAATCCCAACGCAGTCTCTTCTTTCTTCCTGCTTGACCAGCTCCAATCAGATCAGTCCCCCTCCACCTGCCTCTTCCTGAAGTGGGAGGAGCCTCACTTTAATGGGCTATTCATGTTAGCAAGTGTTTGTAGATCTGTGTATGCATGCACGGATGTGTGTGTGTGTGTGGCTGTTATTGTCACCATGTCACAGTTTTTCTTACATAACTGAGTTAGAACAACACTACTGACTGGGTAATACTGACCATTGTTCCTCTTATGTATTTGTGTGCATTTGCATTTGCATATGAATCCATCCATCTGATTGGTTCCAGTCCATTTCCCCTGGATACTGATTCCAACTCAAATAAAGACACTCCATAGGGCGATCAGGAAACCACTCATTCTCTTTTCTTTCTAGGAAAATGTTTGTTTGTTCATCTTAGAGCCGTCAGACATTGTTTTAGTGTTTTAGATTTAACAAGGATAAAACAAAGAGGACCAGAGGAAGAATATATTTCATTATCTGATCCTCAAAACTACTCTCATCTTCACCATCTAACTCTCTCTCTCTCTCTCTTTCTCTCCCCTGTCCTCTTTCTCTCTCTCTCTCTTTCTCTCCCCTGTCCTCCTCTCTCTCTCTCTCTCTCTCTCTCTCTCTCTCTCTCTCTCTCTCTCCTCTCTCCTCTCTCTCTCTCTCTCTCTCCCTCTTTCTCTCCCCTGTCCTCTTCTCTCTCTCTCTCCTGTCCTCTTCTCCCTCTCTCTCCCCTGTCCTCTCTCTCTCTCTTTCTCTCCCCTGTCCTCTTCTCTCTCGTCATGTTCCACACTTTCTGTCTTGTCTAGTGGAGTTTCTACAACCTGTGTGTGTCTCTGTGTGTATCTGTGTGTCTCTGTTTGTGTGTGTGTGTGTGTGTGTAATCAGGGAAAGGTTACTGTGTGTAAATGTCAGACAGTAGAATAATGAAGGTAATGAGAGAGGGAGAGAGCGAGGGGGAGAGAGAAGGAGAGAGATTATCCAGACAGAGATAGAGGGAGAGGGAGAGAACGAGGGAGAGAGAGAAGGGGAGCGAGATCTTCCAGAGAGAGAGAGAGAGAGAGAGAGAGAGAGGAAGGTTCCTGGAAAGAAGACAGGACAGTGGAGAGACTCTAGTAAACAACAGAAAATAGATGGAACAACAACAGAGTAAGTCCCATCCTCATCTTACCAGACATATTATATTCTTGACACTCATGTCATTCAGGACTGGCCATTACTATCCATAGAGGGCCATAGAGGTTAAGGAGCTGTAAGAACAGGTCTAAGAACAGATCTAATACAACATTATAACCAAGTTATTACATAGGGATGTTGTTGAATGGCGTGACTAGGGTTGCAAAATTCCAGGAACTTTCAATAAATTCCCTGTTTTTCCAGAAATCCTGTTGGAGCATTCTGGATTTCTTGCTTATTCACTCCTGATTCCAGGAATCCTCCAACCGGGATTTCAGGAAAACAAGGGAATTTATTGAAAGTTCCCGGAATTTTGCAAGGTGTGACTTGTTTTGGGGAACAGAAAATATCAGTCAGCAGAGACTGGGTTAGATGGATGTCGGCTAGGTGAGGTTAGGGGTCAGTCATGACTCAATGGACAGAGGAAAACACCCATCATCATAAAACCTCTAATGCTGCCTCTCTACTGCTATTAACCAAGCATAAGTACTCAGACACAAAGACCATACATTTTGTTTTGTAGATATGTAGTGGTGTAATAATGCTATATGGTGTAGTGTTTTAACTTTTGTTTTATGTGTGATGTGAGTGCCTTAATGTGTTTGGACCCCAGGAAGAGTAGCTGCTGCCTTGGCAGGAACTAATGGGGATCCCAAATAAATACAAATACACACACACACACACACACACACACACACACACACACACACACACACACACACAAACTGGTTGTGGACAAACTAACTTTCACACTCACTCTATTTGTCCTAACGCCTCTCTCTCTCTTTTTCTCTCTCAGTGTGCAGATCCAAGCGGTGAATGTGATTGGCTGTGGCCCATTGAGCCCACCCCTGGTGGCTAGGACAAGCCCCCTCCCTCCGGCTCCTCCTCCTTTGGAATGTTCGGCTGCCGGCCCCCAGAGCCTAAAACTGAAGTGGGGGGAGAACGGTGCAAACACACACACCCGTGCTCTGCTCTCCAATGACATGTTCTACACACTACAGATGGAGGACAAGAACCACAGGTAGAGTATATAGGACACACACACACACACACACACAGCTACTACACTTCAATGGTTCCAATGGTTCAAGGTTATGTACGTTCTGGATAAAAGCATCTGCTGAATGACCATATTGCATATCACAGTTCTACTGAAGGAAAATACATAAAACACATGTTGTGTGAGTGAGTGAGTGAGTGAGTGGTACATGCACCCGTGTGTGTGTGTGGGGTGGGGGGGGGGGGGGGGGCGTTAGGTAGAGGATAGGTAGGTAGAGGAAACGACAGTAACCAGTAGTTCTAGGGAGAGCTCACGATGAGAACATCTAGACTACAGCACTAATTAGAACCATGAACTGATCAACCATGCTATCCATTAGAGACGAGACTGAAGGAGGGAGAGAAAGAAATAAGAGTGAGGGAAGTAGAGAGGTAGGGAGAGAGAGAGGGAGGGGAGGGAGGGAGGGAGGGGGGAGTGGGGAGCGAGGGAGGGGGAGGGAGAACGGAGGAGGGAGGGAGGGGGAGTGGGGAGGGAGGGGGAGGGAGAGAGGGAGGGAGGAGGGGGGGAGATGGGGGTCGAGGAAAAATTGAGGGGGGGAGAGAGAGAGGGGGGGCGAGGAAAAGTAGAGGGTGGAGAGGAGAGGAGGGGGGAGGGGTCGGGTGTAAGAGGGAGAGAGAGGAGAGGGTGGAGCCTAGAGAGTGGAGAGGAGGAGCGATCGTGGGGGGGGTGAAGGAGGGTACAGGGAGGTGGCGGCGGGGGGCTGCAGTAAGGCGTTACGGGGAGGCGAAGGGATGGGTGGAGGGGGGAAAATTTTAGAGGGACGTCAGAGGGGGGTCGGATAGGGAGGGAGGGTGCGGGGAAAGTAGGGTAGTGAGGAGGTGGTGATTGCGGGGGAGGTAATAAAGGATAAGTGAGAGAATTAGAGAGACTGTCCGTCTGCCTAGCAGTGTCATGGGTGATTGGTATGGTTGGCACCCCTAGCCACAGCCACATTACGACATGGATGACTAGTTGGCACGCTGGCATCTTGGCACCCCTAGCCACAGCCAGAGGGTAGTGTCTAACAGATGGGGCGGTAATTAACCGACTGTCCAGTGTGACCCCCGCAATGCCAACATACACACCCTTCAGTATGTATCCCTCCCTCTCTCCCCTCTCTCCTCCTTCATACCCATACGTTCACCCCGCACTCATTTAATTACATATTGTATGTCTATTGGGCCCTGAAGTATTGCTGACCATGTGACCTGCCCAGGAACAACTCAGGGTTCTAGTTACAAGCTGACCTTGTATTGTGGTCAGGAACAACTGAGGGTTCTAGTTACAAGCTGACCTTGTCTTGTGGTCAGGAACAACTCAGGGTTCTAGTTACAAGCTGACCTTGTCTTGTGGTCAGGAACAACTCAGGGTTCTAGTTACAAGCTGACCTTGTCTTGTGGTCAGGAAAAACTCAGGGTTCTAGTTACAAGCTGACCTTGTCTTGTGGTCAGGAACAACTCAGGGTTCTAGTTACAAGCTGACCTTGCCTTGTGGTCAGGAAAAACTCCTGTCCCTATTGATATATGCACCATATAGCCTACACCTATAGACCCATTTCCCGGATGCGTCATGCAAAGTTGCTTGCGCAGTTCCGAATCCGTTTGTTTAGTTTACATGGAAGTAAATACGATCACGTCCGACTTCAGATGCAGCTCATGCAAGTTAGCAAACACGTAATCAGATGGTTATCGTCTACAACATCGCAGATATCATCGGAGGATTGATTACCTAGCAAGCCAGCGTGTCAAGGTAAAATATCCCAAAGAGAGCTAGATAAAGCCAGAAGAATAATATACTTGTTGAACATAGCTATAGCCATCAGACTGGTGTGTTTTCATGGTCATCACTCACTCTGCTAAGGTCCCGACATCCGTGTATAGCTATCTGCTACAGGGATTTTTGTTGCTAGCATGCGCACATCATTCGAACGTGACGTTTGCTTGTAAACAAAAACAATGTAAAGGGTCAGTATGATTCCTGACACATCTCAGACTATGATTTATATTGACTTATTACTTCTGTTAAGAACATTTCATTATGAGGTGTTTAGCTGCATTTAGCAGTTTATCTCACTCCCCCCCCCCCCCCCCCCCTCTCTATCTCTCTTTTTCTCTCTCTCTGCATGTGTCTCTGCATGGTAGAAATGGCATCATCAGAGCTAAATGGATTTAACTGGCGGTATTGGAGACCCCCTCTCCTCTACCCTCCTCACATTTTCCCAGTTCCTCTTCTCCCCTGCCGCTCCTGAACAGACAGTATTAGGGCTGAATTACCTGGAATCTCTGTAATTGACAGATTGCTATGGTAACCAGATACAGACACTATTAGAAAGAGGGAGCGAGGCAGAGGGCGAGAGAGGAGGACAGTATTATTGGCAGTAAACAAAGACATATCAAATGACCAAACAGCAAATATTGTTTTCATTTCTACAACAACCTTCTCAAAGTCATGTGGTGTCCCGACACCTGTCTGTCCCCTCCTCTCTCTCTGTAAGATGCAGTGAAAGAACTACCCCCCCCCCCTCTCTTCTTATCTTCATGTTTTCCGACCGGGCTTCCCTTTTTTTTTTTCTTTTTTATTTTGGGCCAATTTTTAAAACTCGGCGGTTTGTGTTTGTTTTGCCAAACCCCCCTTTCCCCCTACATTTCCCCACGACCCACAGAAAACAAAGACCCCACAGGGCAAAAAAGAGAGAAAAGAAAAGAGGTTTTTTGGGGGCCTTTTGACCAATCATAGCTTGGGTTTTGTTAGGCTTTTTGGGGGTGGGGGGTTTTTTTTTGTTGTGTACCTGCTTTAATTTGGGGAATTTTTTTTCCAAAAGGGGGGGTTTTGGGTTTTTTGTTTTTACCGGGTATGTAAAGTTCCCCAATTTTGGTTTTTGTTTTTTGTTTTTCCTGGGTTGGTTAATTTTTTTCCCAAGAGGTTTTTTTGGGTCCCGCCCCCATTGGGGGAAATTGGTTCCCCCATTTTTTTAGTTTTTTGTGGTTTGTTTTTGGGGACCTGCTATGGGGTTTTTCCCAGGGGGGGGTGGGTTTTTTTGGTTTTTTTAAAATTGGCCTTTTTTTGTTTTTTTAAAGGGTTCAAAAAGAGTGGGTTTTGTTTGTTTTTTAAAACCCCCCGCCCCCATTTTTTTTTTTTTGGTTTCCAGGAGGGTTTGGTTTTTTTTTGTTTTTGGGGTACCCGCTAATTTTGTTAAATTTTTTTTTTCCCTTTTAGGGGGTTTTGTTGTTTTTACCTGCTATGTAATTTGGGGTTTCCGAGTTGGGGGTTTTTGGGGTTGGGAACTTTTCTATGGAATTTTTTCCCTTTTAGGGGTGTGTGTTTTTACCCGCCTATTTTAATGTTCCCTGAGTTGGGGGGGTTGTGACCTGCTATGTAATGTTCCCAGAGTGTGTGTTGTGTACCGGGTTTTTGAAATGGTTTCCATGAAGTGTGTTTTTTTGTTGGGTTTTTTTTCCTGCAAAGTTTAAAGTTCCCGAGGTTTTTTGGGTTTGTTTTTACCTTTTTAGGGAAGTTCCCCGGGGGGTGTGTTGTGTACCCCTGTAATTTGGTTTGTTTTTTGTTTTTAAAATTGGGTTTCCCTGGTGTGTGTTGGGTATTCGTATTAAAAGTTTCCCGAGTTTTTGTTGTTTTTTTTTGTTACCCGCTAATTTTTAATGTTTCCCAAGGGGGTTTTTGTTGTTTGTACCCGTAAATTTAAAGTTCCCGAAGGTTTTGTTGTGTACCTTTTTATGTTAAATTGGGCCCAGAAAGGGTTTTTGGGGTTTGTTTTTAATTTTTTTTTGGGAAGTGATGTGTTAATTGGTTTTGGGGCCAAAAAATGCCTTGGCCCCCAAAAAACCCCTTTTTCATTAACTCATCATTTACCACAAAACACCAAACACAAAAACAAAACACACACACACGGGTTGCCAGAAATGATTTATTTTGGGAAATGGCCCTTTGGGGGGGGTAACAACCCGGGAAAGTTAGTTGGGCAGAGATAGATTTTTTCCGGGGTTAAATGGCCCCACTTATATGCCCAAATTAAAAAAGAACAAAAACAGGTTTTTTTAAAACCTAAAAAGGGTTTTGTTTTTGGTCGGTTTTTGGTTTTTTGTTGTGTGTGGGTTTATGCTTCCTCCCCCACTAAAAGGATTCAGGGGAAAAAAGGGGATGGCTTTGGAAAAATAAGACACCCTTGAATCCCCAGACTAGCGGAAGCCGTTCCCCGGGGAGAAAAGCGGGGAGGAAGGAGAGGAGGGAGAGAGAAACCGAGGAGGAGGGAGAGAGAGGAGGCGAGGAGAGAGGAGAGGGGAGGAAAGGGGGAAAAGAGGAGAAGCCGAGAAAGAGCCCAGAGGGAGAGGGGAAAAAAGGAAGAGAGCGGGGGGAAAAAGGAAGAGAGGGACGGGAGGGAAAAGGAAGGGGGAAGGGAAGGGGAGAGAGAGGGGAAAAGGGGAGGAAAAGGGGGGAGAGGAGAGAGGGGGAAAGGGGAAGGGGGAAAAAGGGGAGAAGGCGAGGGGAGGAGGGGAGAGAGAGAGGGAGAGAGAGAGGGAGGGGGGATTGGCAACGGGGGGGGAGAGGGGCCCGGGGGCCCCCGGCCCCGGGCGGAAACCCCCACCCCCGGGGGGGGAGAGGGAGAGCTAGGGGAGCCGGGGGGGGTGGGCCCCGGGGGAGCCATTTTTTTTTCCCCCCCCCAAAAAAGGGGAAAAAGGGGGGGTTTTGTGGGTTTGGGGAGATTACAGAGGTCCCAAATTTACAAAAAGGTTTTCAGGCCCCAACGGAGTGAATAGTTAACCCGGTTTTGGTCCAAAGGGATTTTGGGGGCGCGGGGAAAGGGGCCCTTTTCAGACAAACATTTCCCTTTATACCCCCCAAGACTGACCCCCCGCACCCAAAAGGGAAGGGGGGTTTCGTCTGGGCGGTGGTTTGTTTCCCCTAACAGGAGGTGCTTTAGGTTTTCCACCAGGCCCCCTTTTTGGGTTTCCGGTTTGGGTTTTTGAAATTTTTTGGGACAAAGGGCCCGTTTCCTACAGCTTCCCCAAATGCCCCGCGGAAAGGGGGAAATTTTTGTGAGGCAGTGGGGAGACCATTCCACCAAAAAATTTGGGAAAGGGCGAACAAGCCTTTTTTCCACCTTAAAAATTTTTTTTATTTTTTTTTTCCCCGGGGGCTGGGGGTTTTGGGCGGGGGGAGTCAGAACAAAACAGGGAACACACACCCACACCAAAAATTATGGGGGATAGCTGTTTTATTTTACTAAAATCACTCTTTTTTTTATGAAAAAGGAAGGGGGAAGTTTGGACTTTTTTTAAAAGGGAAACTGTTGAGGGGGGGAGGAAAAAAAGAGGGGAAAAATAAAAAAAAAAAAAATTTTTACGCCCTTCAAAGGTTTTTGGACAGATGTAACGGCTCTCGCTCCCGACAACTATTCTCTTTTTTCGTCTTTTGTCGTCTTTGTTTATCGGTGGGGGCTCCTTGGTTTTTTTTCCCCCCCAAAAAATTTTGGTTAAAACCCCCATCGGCCGGGTCTTTCTCTAATTCCTTTACTATGGGTCTCTCTCTCTCTCTCTCTCTCTCTTCTCTCTCTCTCTCTCTCTCTCTCGCACGCACGCATGCACACACAGCTGATTCATCAGGGCGGCAGGTAGCCTAGCGGTTAAGAGCTGGTTTCTCCGAGCCGGCAAGGTGAAAATATCTGCTGTTCTACCCTCGAGCAAGGCAGTTAAACCCCCAACAACAACTCAAATCAAATCAAATTTTATTGGTCACATACACATATTTAGCAGATGTTATTGTGGGTGTAGCGAAATGCTTGTGTTCTTAGCTCCAACAGTGCAGTAGTATCTAACAATTCACAATAATACACAAATCTAAATGTAAAAGAATGGAATTAAGAAATATATAAATATAAATATTAGGACGAGCAATGTCAGAGTGGCATTGACTACATACAGTAGAATAGAATGCAGTATATACATATGAGATGAGGAAAGCAGTATGTAAACATTATTAAAGTGACTAGTGTTCTATTATTTAAAGTGGCCAGTGATTCCATGTCTATGTATATAGGGCAGCAGCCTCTAAGGTGCAGTGTTGAGTAACCGGGTGGTAAACGGCTAGTGATGGCTATTTAACAGTCTGATGGCCTTGAGATAGAAGCAGTTTTTCAGTCTCTCGGTCCCAGCTTTGATGCACCTGTACTGACCTCGCCTTCTGGATGATAGCGGGGTGAACAGGCCGTGGATCGGGTAGTTGATGTCCTTGATGATCTTTTTGGCCTTCCTGTGACACTGGGTGCTGTAGGTGTCCTGGAGGGCAGGTAGTGTGCCCCCAGTGATGCGTTGGGCAGACCGTACCACCCTCTGGAGAGCCCTGCAGTTGCGGGTGGTGCAGTTGCCGTACCAGGCGGTGATACTGCCCAACAGGATGCTCTCAATTGTGCATCTGTAAAAGGTTCTGAGGGTTTTAGGGGCCAAGCTGAATTTCTTCAGCCTCCTGAGGTAGAAGAGGCGCTGTTGCACCTTCTTCACCACACTGTCTGTGTGGGTGGACCATTTCAGATTGTCAGTGATGTGTACGCTGAGGAACTTGAAGCTTTCCATCTTCTCCACCGCGGTCCCGTCGATGTGGATAGAGGGGTGCTCCCTCTGCTGTTTCCTGAAGTCCACAATCGGCTTTGTTTTGTTGACGTTGAGTGAGAGGTTATTTTCCTGGCCCCACACTCCCAGGGCCCTCACCTCCTCCCTGTAGGCTGTCTCGTCATTGTTGGTACTCAGGCCTACTACTGTTGTGTCGTCTGCAAACTTGATGATTGAGTTGGAGGCGTGCGTGGCCACGCAGTCATGGGTGAACAAGGAGTACAGGAGGGGGCTGAGCACGCACCCTTGTGGGGCCCCTGTGTTGAGGATCAGCGAAGTGGAGGTGTTGTTTCCTACCTTCACCACCTGGGGGACGGCCTGTCAGGAAGTCCAGGACCCAGTTGCACAGGGCGGGGTTCAGACCCAGGGCCCCGAGCTTAATGATGAGCTTGGAGGGTACTATGGTGTTGAAGGCTGAGCTATAGTCAATGAACAGCATTCTTAAATAGGTATCCCTCTTGTCCAGATGGGATAGGGCAGTGTGCAGTGCAATGGCGATTGCATCGTCTGTGGATCTTGAAATTGAAGTGTGTCTAGGGTGTCAGGTAAGGTAGAGGTGATATGATCCTTGACTAGCCTTTCAAAGCATTTCATGATGACAGACGTGAGTGCTACGGGGCGATAGTCATTTAGTTCAGTTACCTTTGCTTTCTTGGGTACAGGGACAATGGTGGACATCTTGAAGCAAGTGTGGACAGCAGAATGGGATAGGAAGAGATTGAATATGTCCGTAAACACTCTCTGGGCGCCGATGACCTGGACGTTGATTAAGGCAGCCCCCCGAACCTCTCTGATTCAATGGGGTTGGGTTAAATGTGGAAGAAACATTTGGGTTGAATGCTTTCAGTTGTGCAACTGTCTAGGTATCCTCTGTCCCTTCTATTCCATTTCCCCGTTCATGTACTGTGGTGGCAGCAGAGTTGGGTGAAGGTAGTGTTAATGACAATTAGAGCCCCGAGACCACTGACATTTAACAGTGTCTGCTGCCAATGGAACTTTATGGAAACTCAATATGGTTGTCAATATGCACACACACAATCACAATTGCCCTTTTGGCAGTCGAACAGATCTTCTGGTGAATGAGTACTGAAATGCACGTTAAAAAACACACACGCAGACACACACATATCTGATGTGTTAGTGAAGAGTGTTGTGGTACTTATCTCCAGTGAGGTTTTGTTCTTATTGATTTAGTGAGCAGCTGGAGGCAGGAGACTTGTGTGTGTGTGTGGGTGTCCTAAGTGGTTCTTGAGGTAGTTAAATCCCTTCTGTACAGGGACAGCGTTGATAATCTTAACTAGAAAACAGCCTCTATAGCCACTTTGATGCACTGATTGGATTTCACTAATGTAGAATAGCAACAGGGGGAGAGACTATAATAACACACACTGAGCAGCAACCTGTTTGGTCTGAATCAATTTGTTGAGGTCACAAAGTAGTTTCTAAATCAACGTTCTCTCTCTCTCTCTCTCTCTCTCTCTCTCTCTTTCTCTCTCTCTCCAGGTGTTTAAGGGAGAAGAGAGTGCCTTCCAAATCACCGGACTCCAAGGTAACACCGATTACCGTTTCCGTGTGTGTGCCTGCCGCCGTTGCCAGGATACCAACCAGGAACTCTGTGGCCCTCTAAGCCCCTCCTCCCTGTTCACCCTGCGTCGCCAGGAGCAACAGTGCCTGGGGGAGACAGGCGCCGTGGAGACGGTGAAAGGGGCGGGGATAATATCCAGCGATGAGCGCTTTGCGGCGGTCGTGGTGTGTGTGTTCGCCGGTGTCTCCATCCTCATGGCCTGTCTGCTACAACACTTCTTCATGAAGTGAGGGAATGAATCGGCAACAGGATGAAAAGAGAAAACAGAACCAGAGAGAAAGAAAATGAGCATCTACGAAAGAAAGGAAAGAAAACAAAACACTTAAGAATCAACTACAGGATAGAAAGAGAATAAAACGAGAGAGAAAGAAAGAAAAACATCTACGCAAAGAAAAAGACTTAAAACGAAACAGACTTGAGCTGTACTTCAGTCATTTTACCGCGACGTTGTAGTCCACGTATCGCTTCATGCTTTCCTCTTCTTTCCTCTCTCTCTTTCCCTCTCTCTCTCTCTCTCTGTTTCTCTTGTCGTTGTTTGTTTGGTCTCTCTATCTTATGTAATGGATGTATTTGGAGGGAAGCTGTTCGTAGCCAAAACAAACAAACTGATAACCAAGCATTAGCCAGCCAGGAGCCCAGCAAAGCTCCTCAACAACCTGCATGACATTATTTTGTATCTTTTTAAACCTACAGTATGTATTACAATTAGACAAAGTGTATTTTTCTTTATATTTCTTTACAGTCTATTCCTTACTTTACTGTGTCTGTGTCTTATTTGCGCTGTTCGCTGCAGTCTTTTGTAGTTTTTTACCATTCTGCCATTTTGGAATGTAGTTCTAAAGCTATAGCCATGTATCCATCAATAACTGTTACCTTATCTATTATAGGTCAAATCATGCAATCTTTACGCACAGACACACACACAAACACACAGACACACAGAAACACATACACACACATGCACACATGCAGATGCACAGAGAGACAGAAACACACACACACACACACTCAGATGCCTTCTCTTCTGCATTCTTTATTCAGCTACCAAAGCGATGCCATTGTTAAAAAATGCTGCTATCCTGTTTCGTTATATCTAAGAAAGAATGGAACTAGTTACCTAATATATACAATCTATATCAAATATATCTATGATAGATCTACCTATCTATATCTGTAGGGGGCGATGCTATGATGTAATATAAGAAGTGTAGAGGTCTGGAGGACAGAGCGAAAGAGAGGGAGGGATCCAGGTAGATGTTGCCTTTTAACCACAGATCTAGGACCAGCTTTCTCTCCCCTGAAGCTAACGTAAACCATTATGAGTGGGAAATGCAAAGCTGACTTTAGATCAGTTTAGGGCAAGGGTGTAAAACTAGGCTCCTGGAGGGCCACACACCTGGCCATATCTAGCCAATCAGCAACACCAGTTGATCAATTTAGTTTCAGGTTGATAAAAACATGACACTTTGACCTGTGAGAACTGGACCTGACACCCCTGGTCTAGGGCTAACCTGGTATATTCCAATGGGAGTGGTTTAGTGAAATATAATATGTATTCTAGGTGCTTATCTGCAGATCTGAGGTCAGTTCAGTAGTCAGTCCCCGCGGTCGAATGTAGAGGTTACTGAAGTAACCTTTTACCCACTCCCCAAGTCAACCCTCATACTTCTTCATACTCTTTATTTGTTCTCTGCCCCTCTCTCTCTCTTTCTATCCCTCCACCATTCTCAGTACGTCTCCCTTCCCTCCCTCTCTCCCTCCCGCATTCCTAACCTCCCTCCCTCTCTCCCCCCCTCTCTCCATCTCTCTAGTTAATGCTGTAATCATCCCACTCTCTCTCTAAGCTGTGCTTCGCTCCTACTCGTCAGTTAGCAGAGCCTTTAACTGCTCCAACACCTTTGCCAAAGTCAATGGGAAAGTTACGCTAGAATTTCTCTCTATTGGTTCTATACGTTTATTTATATACAATATAATATTTGCATACAGTACTTTACAAGACAATTACAGTGCAATCTTTTCAGTTATTTATTGTTTAAAAAATAAAAATTAAGAGACAAATGTAAGTGTAGTTATAAATGTACTAATTTGTTTTTTCTCTCGTAGCATGTTATATTGTTATTATTATAATTTTTCAGTTTTTGTTTTTATTGGATGTTATTTTAGATGTTTGATTTAAGGCCAGCATTTCATACTCTCAGTAGCCCTTTACATATCTCTGTTTATTCTCTTACAGTTGTTGGGAAAACCTGTAGTTGTTTCATTATTCTGTATGTCAGTATCAGTGCCGGTTTTACATGTTAACCAAATGTCTACCCTTGTCATCTCCTCTCTCACACACAGAACTGTCTCTTATCCATAACCACATGATCATCACATCATAACACCAATAATAATAGCTTTATAATTGTTTTGGATGTCATGGTTTGACGGTTATGACCAGCCTGTGTGGTTTTCTGTATGCATTAAGAGATGTAGCAAACCGTTAGCCAGGTTATATTGGTAAAGATTTTAGACAGCTGGAGCAAACACACAAAGTTTCTTCAGAAACGTTACCTTTTCTGATATTAATGTTATGTCGGTGTCTGTATTAGGATTTAAGCAGAGGCATGACGTACCATACAACTCTGAGGGGGCACTGATGGTTAAATAAGGTACACTCTTAGAAAAAAGGGGTTTTCGGCTGTCCCCATAGGAGAACCCTTTTTGGATCCAGGTAGAACCCTTTTTGGTTCCAGGTAGAACCCTTTTGGGTTCCATGTAGAACCCTCCAATGGGGACAGTCAAATAACCCTTTAATGCTCTAGGTAGCACCTTTTTTTCTGAGAGTGTATGAAGGTACACTGATGGTTAAATAAGGTATGAAGGTACTCTTTACAGTTACTGTAACCAGTGCTTGAAGAGGAAGGCAGAAGGTGGCGGTACTCACTTTAATTGTACCGTTTCAGCCGGTATTCTGTAAGAGTTGCCATTATTCAGACAATATGACAAGACTTGGAAGACTGGGGTTAGCTCCCCAGGGCTAATGCCCTAGGCTTTAGTTCCAGGGGCTAACACAGTCTTGGGACGATGTACAGTGCCGCCTCAGTGTGAAATTGCGTGGTGTCTAGGGGAGTCAGAACAATAGTTGGCTTAATTTGGCGTTTATACTGCCTAATGTTATAGATTAAGACGTATTTGATATCATATCTGTTTGGTCTATTTCTGCCAAAGTCGAGGCTTGTGTCATGCCATTTTACTTTGTGTGTGTGTGTGACACGTGCACACACACACGTTACTTTCAATGTTATCTACGTACTAAAGGGTTCCTTGACGTTCCCTCTGTGACGACACAGAATTATTACTGTTATATTATTATTCTCTCAAAAAGGAAAGACATAACTTGATCTGTGATTTACGCTTTTTTCATATCTTTATTCTTTTTATTTTTATTTTTATGTTTATTTTTTTTGTAAAGCTAAATGTATTAAATGTGCCATTGTTAAATATATTGCCCCTTTACTGAGTTTTAACACGTTGATTTCACACTGAAAAGGTAAAAAGACTAAAACAATCAAATCACGATTTCAGTCAGACCGATGAGGATGATTATGATGATGAATACTTTTCCAAGCTTGTCGTCGTATAAAGAGCCTTAGTGATTTGTATCCAGTATTTTGCTTAGAATTGATAGTCAGTGCAGAGTTATTATACGTATAGAGATATAGTATTGATGCTAAAATGAGGCAAGTACAACTAACAGAGATTATATGAAGCACTTTTAAAGCGGTAGACCGTTAGCCCACAGGATCCCTATCTATCCTGTGAGAACCATGATGCTTTTGATCAGACAGCTTCTTGTTCTTTGATTCCAGACACACACCTGCCCACCGGGCACTCTGTTACATTGGCATTACTATGTTATCTGGCGTTTTGACTACGCCATTGTTGTGACTGAGTGGTTTGGCATGGTTGGGTCATTTGGTGTTGCTATGTCATACAGCGTTACTATGTCATCTGGTGTGACTTTGTCATGTTGTGTCCGTCATTCCTGTTGACCTGTGTCAGTTAGAAAGAAGTCTGTTGATATGTCCTTTACTCCCTAATGTTGTGTTAAATCTCCCCCAAGCCTTTTACAGCCAAATCATTCCTGATGTTGTGTTAAATCTCCCCCAAGCCTTTTACAGCAAAATCATTCCTGATGTTGTGTTAAATCTCCCCCAAGCCTCATACAGACAAGTCATTCCTGATGCCTAGGGACAGGAGTTTTCCCTGTCCATGTGAATTGACCAGGATGGTTAGGACACATGGTCACGAAATACTCCTGTCCCAACTCCCTACTAATGCCTAATGTTATAGGCTACGGTTAGGATAATGTTAGGCCTGTGATATCACCAAGAAAATGTCCAATGTTGACCCAATGTTCCCTAAAGGTTTTTGGCTAATATTCTCTCAAGCTTTTGGCTGGTGTTTTTCCGGGGCTTGGCCCAGTGGCTACTTGTCTGTGTGAGCAGGGTACACCCTGTAAGATTTGTATTAAGGCAAATCTTTAGACCCTTCTGGTCCTGCTCATCAAGTTGGTCCTGAACTAAACAGATACTTCTGCCCAGCAACCCAAAATCTGTGCCTTCTGATTGGTTACTTTTTTTTGTCAGATTTTTTTTTTTTACAAATTGTAACGGAAAATACGTATTTTGAATATGAGAGATTGGAGATTGAATGGGTAACAGTCCCAGATTAAGGTATGAAAACTCGTATGTATTAAACCTTTTTTTTTGTCTGAAACAAAAACAAAACAACAACATATTTGTACCTCACACTTATCAAAACAAACATTCCAATGTTGTCATGGGCTACGATTTGAAAGAAAAAATAAAATCATACATTTCTACTACTTTGTATTGTAAATGTTAGACTATTTCATATGCATTATATTAAATAAACTGCCATATCAATTTTAATGTATAGATTTTGCAAATACTACCCTCTGTATGTAAGACCTAACTGTATCGGTAGCCTGTGTTATATAATATATTTATGCCCAATAAATGTTTAAATTTTTCTGACCTTGACTGAAATCTCTCGTTTTGTGTGTCATTGTTTGATTTCCTATTCAAACATTGGTTATGTGATATGCTTTGTGGTGGTAGGTAGTCTATATATAAAGGTTAGAGAGGCGGACTAGGTTTGCTGGTTCAAATCCCGGGCAATTAAAAAGTGAATTAGCAACCGCAGGGCTGCTGGTCAGATCCCAAGTGCCATTTCTTGCAGTTGTTCCCTTTGCAAGGCAGCAGAATTGCTCCAGAGGCCCAGCACTGGGACTGACCTTGTGCCTCTCAATGTATGTGTGTGTGTGTGTGTGTGTGTGTGTGTGTGTGTTGTGGGTGCGTGCTTGCGTGCGTGTGTGCATGGAGGAAAGTGTCTGATGATGAGATAGTCAGGCAGTCAGACTCAACAGGGGACTGGTATTTATCACCGTGGTTACAACACTGTCTGAATAAGGAATAAGAGAAGAACATTATTGTCCATTGTTCACAGGAAACCACAAATGTGTCCATTCCCCATCAGGGACACACACTGAGAGGTTGGCACACCTGGTCAGCCACAGTACGTCACCCCTGGAGTAGTTTAGCTCAAAGGCACATTTGAATTCATATCACGTATCGTCGATGTGAGATAATATCTGACTGAGAGCTAGAGGAAATGTACCCGAGATTTGGTTTATCTGTAGATAGACGTATCAGATATACACTCTTTATAGGAAACAACAAACAATGTGCTATCTCCAACATCATTTCTCTCCTAATAAAAAAGGTTGTATGCTGGATCATAATAAATTAACCAATAAAGAGTTGACTAGACAGGAATCCATATGGAATAGTGTCCTTTGGCTCTGGTCACTGTAGTGCACTATAAAGGGAATAAGGTATCATTTGAGGTGCAGCCAGACATAAATCACGTCTATAATCCAGCCGACGCTGTGAAAAAATGCAGCCTTCACATTCAGTTTTAGGGTGAATCTCCTATTTAATGGCCACTATATCCCTGGCTGAACTGTGTGTGTGTGTGTGTGTGTGTGTGTATGTGTGTGTGTGTGTGTGTGTGTGTGTGTGTCTCTGGAGAAGAGAGCAATGGAGAGGAGAGATGCACAAAAGCACATGCAGCCACTTCGACAATCACTGATTTGTGCAGGAACATTGCCATCGATCCTCTCTCACTCTCTTTGTCTTGCTATCTCTCTTTACATTTCTCTTCTCTCTCAACCTTCCTCTCTCACGTTCTCGCTCTCTCTGTCTCTCCCTCTCTCGCTCCCCTCCGTGTCTCAGTGTGTGTTTGTTTGAGTGTGTGAGAGTGTGTGTGTGTGTGTGTGCATGCGCCTTTGGCCAGCAATAGCTTGTGATTTACTCCCGAGCGGCCTCGATAGCATCTCACTGGATAACAGGAGGGATTAAATCACCGAAAAAACATTTCTCCCTCCCGTCTCTGAGACACACTGCATCTCACAAGGGATGCGGAGTAACTCATTCACTCTTTCTATATCTATAATTTCTGAATCAATCTTTTCTCAAGTGCTCTCACACTTCCAAGTTCCCATCTCTCTGACTCATCCTTACCTCATTCATTAATTTCTCCACTCCTCATATTCTATGTACCACCATAAATGTCTTTCTCACTTTCCTTCTTCCTCTTTCCATCCCTCGGTTCTCTCTCAGACCTCTTTCTTTCCCTCTCTCCTCCTGTCCTCACTGTCTTATAGGACTTTTTGATCAGGCAACTCAGATAGCCTCAGATGTGACAGAAGAGTCCTTTGAACAAAGCTTGAAGATGGGGCCCCGTGTAGCTCAGTTGGTAGAGCATGGTGCTTGCAACGCCAGGGTTGTGGGTTCGATTCCCACGAGGGGCCAGTACGAAGAAAAAATAAATTATGCACTCACTAACTGTAAGTTGCTCTGGATAAGTGCATCTGCTAAATGACTAAAATTTAAAAAAGGTTGTCACTTGTTGGCACAATGTCAAAATTGGTCAGTCTTAATAATTAATGAAAACAATAATTAACTTTTCATTCTTAAATGAAGGTTAGGGTTAGTCATAAGGTTAGTAGTGTGGTAAAGGTTAGAGTTATGGTTAAAATCCGATTTTAAGAAGAGTAATTGTAGAACTACGCAGGGTGTAGTTTAGTGGTTAAGAGCGGGCGGCAGGTAGCTTAGTGGTTAAGAGCGTAGTGCCAGTAATCGAAAGGTCGCTGTTTCTAATCCCCGAGCCGACTAGGTGAAAAATCTGTCGATGTGCCATTGAGCAAGGCACTTAACCCTAATTGCTCCTGTAAGTCGCTCTGGATAAGAGCGTCTGCTAAATGACGTAAATGTAAATGTAGCCATAATTATGACTTTGTGGCTGAGGTAACTAGTGACAACCCTTGAGGCTGCCTGACTTAAAGGGATTGAGACGAGAGGAAAGCAGAGGAGGTGAAAAAAGAGAGGAGAAGATAGGCGAGAGGGGGAGAGGTGAGAGGACGAAATATGTGTGTTTGTAGGCTACCTGTGTGTGTACTTCTCCGTCATGACAGAATTAAAAAGCTTATGTCTGAAATAAAAACAATGACACGTCAACAATGTTGAATAATTTTTATCTCCTGGAATGAGTTCAGACCAAGTTGGCAACCTGATGATATGGATCAATATGAAAATACATACAGTGTTTTCTTCCATTATAGTTTGTACAGGCATAGTACAGATTATTATAGTGGTACAGACATGGATACATCGTTTTTTTTTGTTGTCATTTAGCAGACGCTCTTATCCAGAGCGACTTCCAGCTAGTGCATACATTTTAATTTTTTTTCATACTGGCCCCCTGTGGGAATCTAACCCACAATCCTGGTGTTGCAAGTGCCATGCTCTACCAACTGAGCTACAGGGGGCATATATATATATATATATATATATATATATATATAATATAATATGCCATTTAGCAGACGCTTTCATCCAAAGCGACTTACAGTCATGTGTGCATACATTTTTACATATGGATGGTCCCAGGGATCAAACCCACTACCCTGGCGTTACAAGCGCCATGCTCTACCAATTGAGCTACAGAGGACCACATATATATATAAGTTCTTACATAGGAAGGGTTAGCTAAAATGCTAAGCAATTGCAAAGTACCTAAAAAGTAGTAAGTACTTGAAAAGTTGCTAGTTAGCTAAAGTTGGCCTTGATGAGATTTGAACTCTCAACCTTTGGGTTACTAGACATCCACATTATACACCTACGCATCCACCCATTTCGTTTTTGTCTTAAGTAACCATCTGTCCGTCCTAGATTTACTTTTACAAGTATATAGTATAGTTAAGCGTCACATTCATTTGGGCTGAAGCACCATGTCTTTAGTTACATTTCCACATTTGAAGTCTTTTTCCAGAAGATGTTTGTAGTTCATATTTGCAGATTGATTCTGTAGTCCTTACTTGTAGTCTTTATGTCCATTTCCAGCCTGGTCTCATAGATGAGACATAACATTGTAAAAGTAAATCTAGGACACTCAAATTAGTATAATATGTTTCATTTGGTTACATAAGACAGATGGTTACTTAAGACAAAAACTAAATGGGTGGATGGGTAGGTGTATAATGCAGATGTCTAGTAACCCAAAGGTTGAGAGTTCAAATCCTATCAAGGCCAACTTTAGCATTTTAGCAACTTTTCAACTACTTACTACTTTTTAGGTACTTTGCAATTACTTAGCATTTTAGCTAACCCTTCCTATATAAGAACTTATAGGATAAGCCAAGACTAAAACCAATCAGATTGAACAGTTACTAAGCTGCTGTTTAAAAAGTAAGGCTGGCGGTATAATTAGCCTACTGCACATGCTATCATAGCAAAACACTGTTACCTATAGCTACACACACAGACACACACACCAACACACACAGTCACTTACCATAAACACACACACACACACACACACACCTCCCCCAACACACCCAGTCACTCAACATACACAAACACACACACAGCACTTCTGTCCCTCTCTCTCAGGGTACAGAGAAGTGCATCATGGTCTACAGTGCTTTACTTTGTCATCCAGAATACAGTTCACATATTAAGGCAAGCGTAATAACTGTTTTGGTTTGTGTGTGCGTGTTACATGTGTGATTTGTAGAAAATGCATATGTGTCCGTTTCAAAAGCTGTTTAATAGTTTTTGTTGCTAATGGTGTGCTTCATTTTGGGTGACAGAAATGGCTTATAAATATTTTATAAAACATCTTCTCAAACGACTTTGTCTGTCTTTGCCGGGCGGGTTGTGACATCAAAGCAACAGTCTTGTTCAGAGTCCTTGAGGCTAATATAATTAATATGTTCAACGCAAGTCCTGGGCCGACCGACCAAATTTCAATCAATAATCAACGTCCATGGACTTTATGCGTAAACTGGTGCTCACTTGGATAAGGACCAATTAATCCTTGATGGTCCATAATGGTGCCTGTTTGAGTTGGATCAACCAGGGAAAGCAGTGGTCACTGATGAGAAACACACAATAAGAGCTTGATAACAACATCTACATATCAAAATCAGATAGGTATAGTATATCTAGTGCCCATTCATCCTCCAAATTGGCTACAGTCACAGGCTAACAGTGGACTCTGTCCAGGCAGGTGAACTCTCTCCTTTGACAGTGCTTGCCGTTCTCCCTCTGGGTGGTTGAGTCTCCTGTAGACCAAACAGTTGGGCAGCAGCTGACCGGTACTTCCTAGACATTGTGTTATAGAGGACAGGGTTGATGGCAGCCGAGAGATAGAAGAGGACTGTGGAAACAAGGGAGCAGTACTGGGTGAAGAGAGACCAGAGAGGAGAGGAGCCCTCGGAGGAATGGGACATAAGGTAACGATGCAAGTGGAAAGGCAGCCAGCACAGGACGAAGGCAAAGACCACTACAGCTGGAGAGAGAGAGGGAGAGGGGAGACAGATAATAAATGTTCTTAACATTGGATTTCTCCTTTTAGGCTAATAATAATAGAGGGGGAATAAATCAAATTAATTCCAACCATAAAACGTTAAATGCAAACATCAGTAATCAGGTTTTTTTCAGAGAGAGAAATAGGAGAGAGGGGTATGAGGGGGAAATTATAGTTAAGCCTAATTAAATAACCTTGGTAAAGCTTTACACGACTGGCTGTTATCATGGTTATTAGGTTACTGTGCTGACTGTAAAACTTATACAAAGCCTATATCTACATTATCGGCATTATCCTTATCTTATTACAGTGTTTGATTGATTTAATGCGTATCAGAACCAAGATAGTTTTTCAATCTGCAATCTGAGCCTTTAAAAACATATTATAGACATCCATACCTCAATCATGCCGTGCTTAAAACATAGTTTTGAATATGAGCAACATGTATTGTACCCTACCTAACATCTTGACGGTCTGTCTGTTGCTCTTGTCCCTGTGTGCCACGTTGGCTCCAATATTGTTCTCTCTCCGTCTCTTCCACAACCTCCGTCCAATCAAACTGTACACCACAGTCAAACAAAACACCGGCAGGAAGAAAAACACAGAGCTAACCAACGCCATGGCGGCAAGAAGCCCAGACTCAACCGCGTACTGGGTGGGTTTACACTCGCGAGTGTCTATCTCTGTCTCTCCTTCTGCCCCACCAGCAGTCACAGAGTTTCCCACCGCTGGGCGAGTCTCGTGCTCCACTCCCACCAGAACGAAGACAGGTCCCGCGCTCAGCAGTGACACCAGCCAGAGAAATAGGATGAGCGCGCGGACGCGTCGCTTGGTGACCAGGCGTTTGGCGCGAAGTGGGAAGCAGATGGCCAGGTACCTCTCCACTGACAGAGCGGTTATATTCAAAATTGTTGAATAAGTACAGCACTCACTAACGAACTGAAACAGTTTACAGAATGTATCTCCAAATCTCCATGGCCTGTACTTCCATAACCGATACACATCAGGGGGCATACAGAGGAATATCAACAAGTCTGAGACAGCCATGCTACATAAGTAGAGGTTAGTGGTTGTTCTCATGTCTCTGTACTTAGACACGACCAGTATAGTCATTACATTCCCGGTCACTCCCGCCAGGAACAGGAGAGCACAGGTGATGGTGATTCCCATTAGAACGGGGATGGGGAAGAGGTTTTCGGGGGGCACAGGACCCCGGTAGCTCCCGTTAAAGTAGTAGTTCCAGTAGTTCTCCTCCCAGCTGCAGTTAATGGGAGAGAGGCAGTCAGTTCGGTTGGGCCAGGAGCGCATGCTGCCAGCGGGTCATTCACGCGGCTGGAGGTTCTCCTTGGGGCGGCTGGCGCGCTGCTCTTGTCTCCCCATGTCCTCTGTTGCTCTGAGTGTGTGTGTGTGTGTGTGTGTGTGTGTGTGCGCGCATGTGATGCGTAAAGGATGTTATGGTTTTACCAATAGCAGTTAAGCTCAGAGTCCTCTATTTTAGAACAGTCTTGCACTGGAGCAATAAAACACACCTTCCCATCTTGTCTTCCATTTACACGATTATTTGACTTGTAAGAAATAAAGTATAGCCGTTGAATGTTATTAAATCACAAAATATCACAAGCTACAATAAATGTCTGAAGAAAGAAAATAATACTCGAGCATCCTTTGAGCGCATCGTACAAAAGTATTAAACAAATATGAATAGGATCAGATATTCCTTTTCCTCAGGTATTGATAGGCCTATAAATTGGTCTAAATCACATAGATATCTTTTTTTAAATCGGATAAATGATGAGAGAGAAAAAACGACCTTTTAAAACAACATCCTCCAAAAAGAGTCCCTCTCTTGCTCTGTCCCCTTCATGCGCTCTTATGCGTCAGATGAAAACACGGTAACCTAGACTGAAGGTGAGTCACAGAGTCAGGGTTTGGTGATGTGACACTGGAAAGCTCCTCCGACAAACTCAGCCAAGAGAAATGGGTAAACAACAAAAACATCAAAACAACATCAACTATGAGTCTGTGACAATGAATATTCTGAAGAGGTTTCAGAAACGCAGTCCACATTTCTCTCTCTCTCTCTCTCTCTCTCTCTCTCTCTTTCTCTCTCTCTCTCTCTCTCTCTCTCTCTGGAGCCTCCAGGTAAGATCAGTGGATCGATGTCCTCCTCTGTGATTTGATGAGAACTCTCTAAAGAGAAAAAACTACGTTTATAAATATGGCACATTCACACGTCACACACATGCACGTGCTCTAGTCCTTTTTAGCATCACTGAATGGAGCAGAAAGAGCTAGAGAGAGAGGGAGGGAGGGAGAGAGAGGGAGGGGGTCCTACTGGTAGCCCTAGCTTAGACCTAGCACGCCACCTAATGGTAAAAGCAAAGCCGACATGTGTCTGTGTGTGTGTGTGTGTGTGTGTGTGTGTGTGTGTGTGTGTGTGCGTGTGTTTGTGTGTGTGTTCCTGTGTGTTTGTGTGTTTGTGTGTGTGGCCAACAGTATGGCCAGATGAGGATCTATGATGGAGGTTCTTGGGGAGATTTTTTCTCTGCCCTTTGCTCTGTGTTGTTTACCTACACCAGGACATTTATGACCATACACACACACACACACACACACACACACACACACACACACACACACACACACACACAAACACACACACACACAAACACACACACACACACACACACAAACACACACAGAAAGAGAGAGAGCGAGGAAGTGGTCGAGATATAGAGCAATAGAGAGAGAGAAGACACCTCAGATGACAGAAGGAAGTCCAGGAGGTCTGATCACTCAGAGCAACAGTCAGAGCCATCAACTTTTCCTGCAACAGGTACTCAGTCTCCGTGTGTGTGAGGGGGTGTATGTGTGTGTGTCTCACCTCTGTCAATTGCTTTTCCACTTCACTGTCTCTAGTAGCTACATTAACCAACAAAGACTAGCAATGATCGTGATATGGGGTTTTACTACTTTACTACTTTAGCTGAATGCACTGATTGAATGTCGCTCTGGATAAGAGCGTCTGCAAAATTACTAAAATGTGAAAATGAAAAATGTAATGTGTGTCTTCCCCTATCATCATTCTCAAAGGGTGTGGTGTTGCGTCCAGGTCAAAGTCTCAGTCATAACACACACATACGTATGTACACACACACACACACACACACACACACACACACACACACACACACACACACACGTATGCACTCGCGATACAGTCTGTGTATATAGTGAGGAGAGCAATGTGCACATTCAATCACAAGATGGAGGGAGGGATTCACTTGTAGGGTGGATAGGAGGTGTGTGTGTCTGTGTGTGTATGTGTGTGCAGGGGTGGTAATTGGGGGGCGGGGGGGGGGGGGCACTAGACACCCCTGAAATATCATTGGCCACCCTTAGTCCCCCCAATTCTCATTGGGTCGGAGCGCTGTCAATCTGGCTCTGATTGTAGAGAAAAGGGTGCATTTGTTCTGGCAGTTCAGATGCTTGCTTTAGGGCCACGCGGACGCCTTGGAGTGGGCGAAGGCTGTGATTGGCTGGCTGGCTTTAGGCCTATGGCGAGCGCAGCTGCAGTGAACACTGAACAGCAGAACTTCTCTCTCAGTTGAGTTGACTAAAGCAGTGCAGAGGTGGAAAATGGCTAGGTAACTGCTGTTTGACTTGACAGGAAACTAAACTAGAGTTTTTAATCCCGATGCTGAGCTAGTGTGTAGCAGCAAATTGCTATATGGCATGCGTTTGTCCTAGATAGAATGTTATGTATGTCCCTTATCGACTGAGGTGAATGAAGCTACAGCAGCCACAGTGATAATGGCTGGAGTCATAAAAATATATATATACACTACCGTTCAAAAGTTTGGGGTCACTTAGAAATGTTGTTGATTTTGAAAGAAAAGCAATTTTTTTGTCCATTAAAATAACATCAAATTGATCAGAAATACAGTGTAGACATTGTTAATGTTATAAATGGCTATTGTAGCTAGAATCCGTAGATCTTTAATGGAATATCTACATAGGCGTACAGAGGCCCATTATCAGCAACCATCAGTCCTGTGTTCCAATGGCCCGTTGTGTTTGCTAATCCAAGTTTATCATTTTAAAAGGCTAATTGATCATTAGAAAACCCTTTTGCTATTATGTTAGCACAGCTGAAAACTGTTGTGCTGATTAAAGAAGCAATAAAACTGGACTTCTTGAGACTAGTTGTGTATCTGGAGCATCAGCAATTGTGGGTTCGATTACAGGCTCAAAATGTCCAGAAACAAATAACTTTCTTCTGAAACTCGTCTGTCTATTCTTGTTCTGAGAAATGAAGGCTATTCCATGTGAGAAATTGCCAAGAAACTGAAGATCTCGTACAACGCTGTGTCCTACTCCCTTCACAGAACAGCGTAAACTGGCTCTAACCAGAATAGAAAGAGGAGTGGGAGGCCCCGGTGCACAACTGAGCAAGAGGACAAATACATTAGAGTTTCTAGTTTGAGAAACAGACGCCTCACAGGTCCTCAACTGGCAGCTTCATTAAATAGTACCCGCAAAACACCAGTCTCAACGTCAACGGTGAAGAGGCGACTCCAGGAGGCTGACCTTCTAGGCAGAGTTGCAAAGAAAAAGCCATATCTCAGACTGGTCAATAAAAATAAATATTAAGATGGGCAGTCTGAGATATATATCTTTTTTAAATGATAAACTTGGATTAGCAAACACAACGGGCCATTGGAACACAGGACTGATGGTTGCTGATAATGGGCCTCTGTACGCCTATGTAGATATTCCATTAAAAATCAGCCATTTCCAGCTACAATAGCCATTTACAACCTTAACAATGTCTACACTGTATTTCTGATCAATTTGATGTTATTTTAATGGACAAAAAAATTGCTTTTCTTTCGAAAACAAGGACATTTCAAAGTGACCCCAAACTTTTGAACGGTAGTGTATATACAGTGCCTTCAGAAAGTATTCATACCCCTTGATTTAGTCCACATGTTGTTTTGTTACAGCCTGAATTCAAAATGGATGAAAGAAATCTAAATCTCACCCATCTACACACAATATCCCATAATGACAAAGTGAAAACATGTTTTTAGAAATTGTAGCAAATTTGTTGAAAATAAAATACAGAAATATCTAATTTACATAAGTATTCACACCCCTGAGTCAATACTTTGTAGAAGCACCTTTGATGGCGATTACAGCTTTGAATCCTCTTGGGTATGTCTGTATCAGCTTTGCACATCTGGATTTGGGGATTTTCTCCCGTTCTACCTTGCAGATTTTCTCAAGCTCTGTTCAATTAGATGGGGAGCGGTGGTGAACAGTCTTTCCACAGATTTTCAATGTGATTCAAGTCAGGGCTTTGGCTGGGCCACTCAAGGACATTCACTTTCTTGTTCTGAAGCCATTCCAGCGATGCTTTGGCTACATGCTTGGGGTCATTGTCATGTTGGAACGTAAATCTTCGCCCCCCAGTCGAAGGCACTCTGAAGCAGGTTCTAATTAAGGATTTGTCTGTATTTGACTCCATTCTATCCTTACCAGTATCCCAGTCCCTGCTGATGAAAAGCATCCCCATAGCATGATGCTGCCACCACCATGCTTCACGGTAAAGATGGTGTTAGATGGGTGATGAGCTCTCAATGACGCAGCTGTATAACTTTTTGAGGATCTGAGGGCCCATGCCAAATCTTTTCAACCTCCTGAGGGGGAAGAGGCGTTGTCGTGCCCTCGTCACAACTGTGTTGGTGTGTGTGGACCATGATAATTCCTTAGTGATGTGGACACAGAGGAACTTGAAGCTCACGACCTGCTCCACTACAGCCCCATCAATGTGGATGGGGGCATGCTCGGCCCTCCGTTTCCTGTAGACCACAATCAGCTCCTTTGTCTTGCTGACGTTGAGGGAGAGGTTGTTGTACTGGCACCACAATGCCAGGTCTCTGACCTCCTCCCTGTAGGCTGTCAGTCTTATAATTTTTTCTCTCTCCTCTAATCCCTCCCCTTGCCCAAAGCCCTCCAACTCAGCTCAGATTCCAGCAGATTCCCCCAATGAGAGAACCCAGGGGGAGGGTAAGACTGTTTCGACACAGCTGATTGGTCTAGAGTTCGGTAGCTCCTCCTCTCTTGAGGAATTGGCTTCGAGGAGTTGTTTCCACACTACATTCGTTCTCTGTTATACAAGAGGAACGGTACACTGAGTGTGTATAGGGTGTGTAGACTGTGTGTGTGTTTGTAGTGTGTGCATATGTGTGTGTGTTTAGTCTACTCAGTAGTCTAGAAGAGGGACAAGTCAAAATGAGGACATCAAGTCCACAGGAGCAGGTCAGTAGTTTTTCTTTCTCTCTCTCGGTCACCCTGTTCTATATTTGTTCCCATGTAGAAGTAGTGTGTATGTGTGTGTGTGTGTGTGTGTGTGTGTGT